CAAGGGCTTTCTCCCAAATGCAAACTGATCCTGCCATCCCAAATCCTTGTCCCACATTCCCCTGGGAAAGACGCATCTGCTTTCCTGTGTGCATTTAATCCTGTGGGACAAACATTAACTGTGTACTTGCTGTGTATCCAGCACTGAGAATAGAAAGATTAAGAATCTGGACTAGTGGGTGACTTAACGAAGAAGGTGTCCCTGCCTGCTCCTGCTCCAGTGGCCAAAGCCCTCCTCTGTGTCTGTACAACAGGCAGGATCCTGTGGTGAGCCGTGGTCCATGCCACCGGCTACTTCCTTTGCACCTGTGCTTCCTGACCTCTTTGCTCCACTCGGAGGCCAAAGGGGCAGCTTCCCCTGCAAGTACAGCTTTATCCGAAGGCCAGAAGGGTAGGGACAGCCAGCTTCCTAGACGTGATGGCCTCAGTGATGAAGTCCAAGACTAGATCTACAGGGAAGTAAGCGCCAGCCAGGAGCATCCCTGAAAATAGTCAGGGACCAACACTGACGGACGAATTCCAGCCGCTGAACAAGACAGTCCTGCTCTGGGGAGCCCAGCTCAGACATGACCCAGGTGAGAGGTGGCTGCTTTTCAAGAACAAGTTGCCCCTCCTGAGGCATCTCCCTAAGGGCAGAGGCAGTGCCCCTCACGCCCCAAAGAGCAGGAGGAGCCCACAGGGCTCATGGAGGTGCGTGAACTCTCGGAAGGAACTTTGGCATCAGACAAAACAGTGCCCAGGCTCCAGCTCCTGCTCTGTGTGGCCAGTTGGTAGAGCTCTCTGAGCCTCACTTTCCCGTCTGTGATGAGGGGGTGATATCACCTGACTAAAGGGCTACCAAGAGGATTTGGGCAGAGCAAGGGGCCTGTCGGTGAGTGGCCCACAGCAGCCAACCCGTAGACCCCGTTCCCTCGTTGCTTCTTTCCTGGTATTTTTGGTGGTCACTTCTGGATGGACACTGCTCCACCAAACTCAGTGGAGCGGCTGGAGGGGAAGTGAGTTTTTGCTGGGGCTGTCAGCCAGTCCTGGCCAAGAGACAAGGTTGCAGAGTTGATTCGGAACGCTGGACATGTCTTGGGGTAGGGATATCTCTGTCATAATGTCAGACTCCTCCCATGACTGCTCAGTCCCAAATTTCCCCCTGATGGCTGAACTAGGCTGGGATCCTGGCCCTCAGGAGAATCACAGACGTCATTCAGAGCCAGCTTTTGCACCTGACCTGACCCAGGACACCTCTCTCCTTGGCACAGGCTGCAGGTCTCATTCTGGGCTAGGTCTGCTAGCCTGGTGGCCCATAAAAGTAGATGCTGTCCAGACAAACCAAGGCTAGGATTCAGGGTACTCCACTTCTAAGTGCAACTTCATGCCATCAGCACCACTTTGGGCAAGCCATGCCTCTCTCTAGGACTCAGTTTCCCCACCTACACACAGAAAGGCAAGGGCTGGCCTCAGAGACCCCAATGACCAAATGCAGATGGATAAGTCAGAGCACAGGTCTCTGGGAGAAACATTGCTGATGTGGTCTGAGACATCACATGTCTGTGGATCACGACGCCGCCTCCTCTGGGCAGAATAATTCCAGTTTCCCAAGTTAATTGTCTTGGGAACAAGAGTCTAGGCATCAAATCCTGCTCGGTGCTGTCTCCGGAGCTCCCTCCTACCTTCCCGAACCCACAGAGGCTGTCCTGATCAGTTGACATGGAAGATAAATTACTCCAGAAGAGATTTCCTGGTAGATAGCTCAGGGTGGGGGACCAATGAGAGACTCATGGGACCTTTCCTGACACTCTGGGCTCTGTTCTCCTTTGCATCTCAGGACACCCCGAGGTCTCAGAGCAAGAGCCCTTTTCCCCCTTGTCTTCAAACGTCCACATGCCATTGTTAGCTGGGCCCATTCCCTCTTGAGGACCGTTACCACCTTCATGCTGAGTCTGATGATATGACAGAGATACCCCCATCCCAAGACAGGTCCGACTTTCAGAATCAACTCTGCAACCTTACCTCTTGACCAGGATCAGCCGACAGCCCCAGCTAAAACCCACTTCCCCTCCAGCCCCTCAGATCACTTTCTGTTCCCCCAGAAAATCCTCCCTCACCCACAGCCTCAGAGATTATCAGTGTGAACTGAATCACGGATTTTCGCAAAACCACCCAGCAGGGCTCACAAACACGACTGTGTTTCGCAGCACAGCCCCGGTGTAGAGGCTGCACATCATGCACGTCCAGAAAGGCAGGCCCTGTCACCCCCCCAGGCCGCCTCCTGCTTTTAACTCTCCAGGATGGGGATTCTGTTTGGGCACACTGTAAAATTCACGCTCAGGCCGGGCGCGGTGGCTCACACCTGTAATCCCAGCACTTTGGGAGGCCGAGACGGGTGGATCACGAGGTCAGGAGATCGAGACCATCCTGGCTAACACGGTGAAACCCCATTTCTACAAAAAAACATACAAAAAACTAGCCAGGTGAGGTGGCGGCACCTGTAGTCCCAGCTACTTGGGAGGCTGAGGCAGGAGAATGGCGTGAACCCGGGAGGCGGAGCTTGCAGTGAGCTGAGATCCGGCCACTGCACTCCAGCCTAGGAGACAGAGCGAGACTCCGTCTCAAAAAAAAAAAAAAAAAAAAATCACGCTCATCTGAAAGCACGTTCCCTGCACACGTTATTTATTGTGAGATCAGTGTGCGATTACAACACAGCCAGCTGTATTCTGAGAACAGACAGCTTGCAACCTGAGAGCCGCGCCTTGAAGCCCATCACCTCCTCGCCCACATGCGTTTCCCATCAGATCTGAAAGGCTACAAGGGGAGAAAGACAAGCCCATCCATCAGCCTGCACCTCTGGGGCCTACATCACCCGGAGTTCTCCGAACTCATCCAGTGTCCACAGTCCAGCAATACCATCAAGGCTGAAGAAAGAGAGAAACACTGTTCCCTAGGGCAGCAACATGGACCAGCCCCACCGATTCCCTCACCGCCCGGGTAACTCACTCCATGCGGTGTCCTTGGCCTCCTCTGACGTTATGAAACCCAGCCCTGCGCTTTTTTCTTTACTGCCTTTTAAAGACAGAAGAACAGCTGACACTTCCCTTTCGGCTGGCACCATCCTGGCATGGGGAAAAGGCAGATGTAGGCAAGTCAACTGACATGTTGACAAACCACTGGATCGGAAAATAAATCTATCCTGATGCAAGTCACAAAAGCACAGGGCAGGAGGCGCGGGGGCAGCGTGAAATCCCGGGCACGGCTGCCTCCCGCCCCACACCCACGACTGGGAAGAGCCATGCAGCTGTGATGTTTCTCTCTCCAGAGGGAATTAATCATTTCCAGACGCCGGCCCAGCACCTGGTGCCCAAAGCCACAGGCCTGGGAGCTGTGCAGGTCTTGCAGGCGGACGACACCACTTAGCGGACGCGATTACTTCCCTGGTCCTACTGCCTGGTGCGTGCAGAGAAACTGCTCCCAAGTGGGAAGTGAGTGGCTCTGTCGAGGCTTGCGACAACGCTCGGGGGTGTCCCAGGTGAACCCCCTTCTCTAAAACAAGCAGGTCCCTCCCTGCTCTGATACTGAAATGACATCACAGGGCGCTGAGGACGTGGGGCCTGTCCCCGGCCGCTGCAGTGCAGTGCCACCTGCAGGCCGTGTGGCCTGAGAAGGCTGCGTCATCTCCAGGCCTGCAGGCTCTCGTCTACAGGAAGAGGGTGATCAGTAGCCAGCCTTGGAGGTTTGTGTGGGGGAAATAAACCAAGTAACCAGGGGCGGGAGCTTAAAGAGTGGCTGCACCAAGCCACATTCTATGGGTGCCAGGCCATGCTGGGGCCCGAGTGTTTGTGTCCCTCCACGCTCACATGTTGAAATCCTCACCCTCAAAGTGATGCGAATAGGAGGTCGGGTCTTCGAGAGGTGATGAGGTCAAGGGGCAGAGTCCTCATTAATGGGATTGGTGCTTTATAAGAGGCCCTAGAAAGCCCCCGCGCCCCTTCTGCCATGTGAGGGCACAGTGAGAAGATAACCGTCTATGAGGAAATGGGCCTCACCAGACACTGACTCTACTGGGATCTTAATGTTGGACTTCTCAGCCTCCAGAACTATGAGAAAGAAACCTCTGTTGTTTATAAGCCACCTAATTTATGGGGTTTTCCGGGTTTTTTTAGAGACAGGGTCTTGCTCTGTCACCCAGGCTGGAGCACAGTGGTGAGATCATTGCTCACTACAGCCTCAACCTCCTGGGCTCAAGCAATCCTTCCACCTCAGCCACCTGAGTAACTGGGACTGCAGGTGCACACCACCACACCCAGCTAATTTTAAACCAATCTGTAGAAATAGGATCTTGCTCTAGTGCCCAGGCTGATCTCAAACTCCTGGCCTAAAGTGATCCTCCAGCCTCGGCCTTCCGAAGTGCTGGGGTTACAGGTGTGAGTCACCATACTTGGCCTCCAATTTATGGTATTTTGTTACAATAACCCAGATGGACTAAGACAACTCTCATAATCAATATCATCTTGCTTATCATCACCACCACCACCGTCATCATCATGATCACCACCATCACCACCATCATTATCACCACCATCATCACCACCATCATCATCACCACCATCATCACCATCACCACCATCATCATTACCATCACCACCACTATCATCACCATCATCATCACCACCTCCACCATCATCACCATCATCACCACTATCATCACCATCATCACCACCACCATCATCATCATCACCATTGTAACCATCATTATCACCACCATCATCACCACCATCACCACCACCACCATCATCACCACCACCATCACCACCATCATCACCACCATCACCATCATTGTCACCATCATCATCACCATCATCACCACCACCATCATCATCACCAACATTATCATCACCACTATCACCATCATTACCACCACCATCACCATCACCGCCACCATCACCATCACCACCATTGTCATCATCACCACCATCATCCCCATCACCACCATCATCACCATCACCACCATCACGATTACCATCATCACCACCACCACCATCACAATTACCACCATCATTGCCATCATTGTGGGATGAGTCTCAACACTGTCCTCATCATGTGTGACCTGGACTGTGGGCCAGCCCCTCGGGCTCTGCTCTGCTAACCTACATTCTTTGTCTCTGGTTCCTGAGGAGCTGGGAGTTGAGACCCAGTAAGGTGTTGTAGAGACGCTTGTGACTCCAAATTCCACGAGAAAGAGGACCTCCCATTTTCTTTCCTTGTTACAGTATGTCATCTTCCTGCACAAGTGGATAAACCTTGACGTCTGTCTCCATTTCCCAAAAGAGTTACCAAGGGGGCGCTTTCCGAACTACCTGGCTCAGACTTCTTTTCCAGCGTGGCCTGGTGAGTGCCAAGGAAAAGAAGCTGAAGCTCTACCAGCAGCCTCAGACCTGACACGATGTCCCTGCTCCATCTCCCTGCAGGAGCCATGCTCACTTCAAACGCTTTCGCCAGCTCAGACTGCCATAGCAGAATGCCACAGGCTGCATGCTTTCAACAAGAGGAGTTTGTTTCTCACACAGTTCTGGAGGCTGGAATTCCAAGATCAAGGTATGGCTGACTTGGCTTCTGATGAGGGCCCTTCCTGACTTGCAGGTGGCTTCCCGGCTGCCTCCCCACGGTGTCCTCACCAGGTGAGACAGGGAGCTCTAGCTTTTTCCTCTCCTTTTAAGGATCACTTGTAACCGATCCCATCATGGGGTCCCACCTTCATGGCCTCATCTAAACCTAATCACCCTCCAAAGTCCCCCCTCCAAATACCATCACACTGGGGGGGTTAGGGCTTCAATATACAAATTGGAGAGGGAGACAATTCTGTCCATAGCAGGCCCTGGGGTCCCCATCCCAGCCAGAGTAACTCCACAGAAGCAACCAATAAATCTCCAAAGCCACCACCATTGCCCACTGAACATTTCACCTCTGCCTGTGTTCTGAGAGCGGGACTTGTTCATTGTTCTGTTTTAATTCTCGGCAGGGCCTATGACCATGTCTGATGTTCAGGGAATGAAGGAGTGAAGAAAGTAGGAATGAAGGAAGGAAGGAAGTAGCTCCAGCAGTTGGTTCCCAGGCAAGAAGCTGGTGGGGTTCTGACTTCTACCCTGATTCACACCCTTTCCTCCTGCCCTCAGAGTGGTCCTTCTCCTGCTCTTGTTCATTCATCCCCTTTAGCCCTTTTGTATTCTCTTCTGTAGCTGAACCACAAACAACAAACACATGATAAATATTTTCCAAGCACATCAGATGCATCGTGTCAATTTCCCTGCCCCAGCCCAGTGGGGTGGGTGATGTCTTTGCAGCCCCCACTTGCCAGGGGCACCTTATGGGCATCCAGATCTCCAGACCACAGAGCCAGGGCCCACCCAACCGCATGGTGCTGTCTGCTCTGTACGCATTCCACGAGCTCCGTGGCCTGGCCCAGCCCCAGTTGGAACCTCGGGTGCCCTTCACTCTTCCAAAAGGGTTGTTTCCTTTCAAAGAAAGGAAAGAGTAGAACTGCAGACTGCGTTTGGCTACACAGCCTGGGAACAAAATAACCCACACAAACAAAATCCACAAGGAGCCCCAAGCCTTCACTTCAATCCACTTGGCTTTCAACACCCTCCTGGTCTCATATTTTCCTTTCTATCCTTCAGAGGAGGGTAGCTCATAAGACTTTATCTCTCGCCTCTGGTAATTGTTTCCCAGTGCCCCTAGCACTGCTATATAACAAATGACCACTGATTTAGAGGCTTCCAACCACACACATCTAGTCTCTCCCAGTTCTGGAGGTTGGAGGTCTTAAGGTCCAGGTGTTGGCAGGGGCTGGCTCCCTCTGGACACTCCTGGGAAGAGCGATGATGAATATCTATTGTTCTAAAGTCCAGTTTGTGGCAGTGTGTTCCAGAGGCAACAGGAAACTGATACTCCATAGAAGTCAGTGGGAAAGCAAGACTACAACAGATCATAGCACTCCTGTTTACACAACATACTTCCCCAGTTCAAGCCAGCACCCTCCTCTGCTGGGTTCTCCAGCAGCCTCAGCTCAACCTCTATCTCAGCCCACCAAATGCAACAGAGATGCTTCTAAAACACAGTGTTGCTTCCAGCCTGGAGTCTTCAATAGCTCCCCATTGCCCTTAGTACAAACACTGATCTGAAGCATCCATTGTGGGGCTGCAGCTGTGTGTGATCTCTGGATTTACTGCTCCAGCTCATGCTCTGCTCCCTCTCCTTCCTGTCCTCCCTCCTCCACCTCCTGAACACGAACCTCCACTACTTTCACAAACACACCACCTGTCCTGTTGTGTCAGTTAAGAGGGTGAGTGCCTGGCGTGGTGCCAGGTGCATGGTGGGGCTATGCTGGGACTGAGCAAGGCGTCACCTCTGATTCAGCCACTACCCAGGCAGGTGCCCAGGGATTCCACTTTTCTCCTCTAAAGATGACAATATTGGGCCTGAAATTAGCCTTAATGGTCTACCCCACTCTTGTGAGTTTATAACAATCAAAACATTTTGGGCCACGAAAAAAATTGCCCAGAAAAACGAGGAGGTTTTGGCCTGGTGTATCCAGATTAGCTGTTTGTGTGGATTGAGACCCACCCGCAAAGCCCCCAGCCCCATGTATGGGTACCCATTTTGCAGCACAAAGGGTCAAGACAAGGCAACAAGAGAGAGAAGTAGAGGAAGTAACAGGGTGGGTGGGGTTGGAAATTGGGTGGGGGGGGTTGGAAATTGGGTGGGTGGGGGTTGGAATTGGGTGGGGGGGGCTGGAAATTGGGTGGGTGGGGTTGGGAATTGGGTGGGTGGGGTTGGGAATTGGGTGGGTGGGGTTGGAAATTGTGAGAAGGATCTTGAAAGTTCCCCAGAGTCTGGTTGCTTCCTGGTTGGTTAAAATTTCTGTGCCTTTTTCTTTTCTTTCCTTTTATTTTGAGACACAGTCTCACTCTGTCACCCAGGCTAGAGTGCAGTGGTGTGATCTCGGCTCACTGCAACCTCTACCTCTACCTCCTGGGTTCAAGCAATTCTCCTGCCTCAGCCTCCCAAGTACTTGGGATTACAGGTGCCTGCCACCACACCCGGCTAATTTTTTGTATTTTTAGTAGAGACGGAGTATCATCATGTTGGCCAGGCTGGTCTTGAACTCCTGATCTCAGTTGATCCACCTGCCTCGGCCTCCCAAACTGCTGGGATTACAGGTGTGAGCCCCTGTGCCTGGCCTATGCCTTTTTCTATGGCAACGATTAGCACAGAAAACAATTCCCCCATAGGGGCACTTCCCCAGCACCCAGCCCCGTGCCTGGCATACAGTAGGAGCACAATAAGTGCATGTGGAATGGGTGGATAAATGAACATGCCCAGTGCTTTTCTAGAGGGCAGGTCCCAGGGGCGTGCAGACACACATGTCCAGGTGTCCAAATACCCCTCCCCAACTCCAGTCAGAGAGAGACCCCAAGCATTAGCATCCTTATCCCGTCAGCTCTTCCCCCGGTGCTATCTGGAGACATGCATTTGGGTTGTTATGATCAGAAATGACAGTAGCAATTCGTACTTGGGAAGGTCCAATAGAGGTATAACTGAGTCAATGCAGCCGACTGTGTTAGGAGCTACACTTCCTCAAGGCTCCAGAGGCTCTCTCTACAAAGGGCCAGTGCATAAGCGATGTCCTTTCAGTGTTTTTAATGAGACATCCTCCCCTCATTGGGGAACATTCTAGACACAAGGTTTGAGAAAGAAGGACCTTCCTTTCCAAAAGGGAAAAATGAGGCCACATTTAGCTTACTGAGCATCCATTCTAAATGGCATTTGAGGTGCCTTCTATGTGCAGAAGCAGGTAGTGACACAAATGCATGAGTGGTGCATGGTCCCCACGCCAGGGACTAGTATGGAAGGCTCTGTTTCTCAAACTCCAAGACAGGTGCCCCCGGAGTCTCGTTGAGATGTAGATTCTTGTGCAGTGAATCTGGGCAGGGGGAGGGTCTGCTTTTCTAACGGGCTCCCAAGGGCTACAGAGGCAGCTATCCTGGTCCGGGATCCATGTTCCCAGCCTGAAGACCGGTGGCACTGGCCATCCCTGAGAGCTTGTTTGATATGCAAATTCTGGGGCATCCCAGACCTCCTGCCTCAGAATCCCTGGGAGTGGTGCCTGGGGACCTGGGTTTATACAGGCCTCGAAGAGATTCAGATGCCCTGGCAAGTGTGAGCACCATGGGGGCCAGACCACGACAACAGCCCATCCAGGAGCTGCACTTTGCCCTTCCCGCACGCTGTAAGATACCATTAAGCAGCCCATGCCGTCCACTAGGCCAGGCGCAGCCTCAGCACCCTCCAGGCAGGAGTCCAGGTCCCCAGGATGATCGTATGACACCCCAGGTCTACATAGACACTAAGCAGACAGCAGATGGTCCCCCAAGATGTGATAGATGCTACCCAAGTGAGACGTGAAGTTACCTGGGTGCTCGGTCTGGGGAGGGAGCAACCTCTGGTGCTCTGGGGGAGAGGAAGTGTTGAGGTGTCACAGGAGAGGTGAGACGTGATCTTGGGCTTGGAGGGGAAGGAGGAGTCGTCCAGGGCAGCAAGGGAGGGCACTCCAGGCCGAGGTCACAGCACGGGCAGAGGCACAGAGGTGGGAAAGCTCGTTGCTTGGAAACTGCGTAAATCAGCTTAGAGCCAGGCCCTGAGCTCCAAAATGGAGATGGGGTCATGGGAGGAGAACCGGGGAGCAGGCGAGCCAGGAGGCTGGTGTGAGAGACAGGGCCTAGGACGCATCCCGGGAAAGCCCCTGCCCACCCACTTTTCTTCCCAGGCCCCTTTCCTGAGACCCTGCTGGGAAAAAAAAAAAGAGACGACAGCACAGGAGGAGCAGAGAGGGGTCGACGTGATTTCAGACACTCCAAGATAAACAGGGAAACTAAGAGTTGAGACTCGTTACATTAGCCATGGGAAAAATCACCATTAGGCACCGCATTTTAATACAGCATTCTGTCTGGTTTTGATTTCACAGATGTAAAAAAAAAAAAAAAAAATTACAGGCAATCTGTAATTAAGTTGGACTACTTCAAACTGTTTCTATAAACCATATTTGGGATCCTTCCAGTGTTTCTGAGATTCAATTTACAGAGATTTCTTCAAATCAAAAAAATAAAGAAAAAAGAAAGAGAAAAAGAACCAAACACGGTCCGTGGGGAGCAGCGGTTGGGGTCCCAGCCGGTGTGATGCTCCCACAAGGGGCCTCCCTTTGCTGGTGTAATTGGCGTAATTCACATTGTTCTGATTACAGAGGGCCTGTGAGATGCTGCGTTTAGGACACATTCTGGAGGTTTTCCTTCCTGCATGCAATTTCATCCGCATCTTTATCAGCGAGAATTTTGCTGTTAATAGAACGTGTGTTCCCATGCTAAGCGTGAAACTGGAGTCACACATCTGGGCAGGTGCTGGGCCCACAGGTGCTAGGTTCTGTGGGGTCCGGTCGGATCTGGGAGACCTAGCTTGGAGGCGTCCACCCCAGGCAAAGAAGAGCTGCCTCAGAGTCCCCAGCCTGTGCCACCCTCTCAGGGCTCCCCCAACCAGGTGAGCTGGATCCTGGGGTCTCCACAGACACCTCGGCTAGTCCTGACCTGCTGGCCAGATACCCACCGGCCCTGCCTTCCAGAGGGCCCCTCTGCATCATCTTCACACCCCAGGGCCTCCCAGCTGCCCCCCCTGCAGGGCTGCTGGAACTTTCTCCCGAGACAAAGCCTGCCATTGTGCCTCCCTGGAACCCGTCTCCGCAGTGGGGGGACAGGGTGTGTTGAGCGTCCCGGGTCCAGTGTCCCCGGCGTGTCCTGCATCTCGGGAGCCAGCTCCTCTGCAGCTGAGGCCCCGTGAGTCACAGCAGCTTCCTCAAATGCTTTGGCTGGTCACATCCCCCTGCCTCGCCAGAACCCTGGATGCCGGAGCCCTCCCAGCGAGAGCCGTGTTTATTTTACTTTACATACATTTTCCAACACGGAGCAGCTTGAACACACGCAGCTCTTACGCCCAGGGCGCACATCTCAGAAGCCCCATGTGCGACTCTGACTGCCTTATGATCCTCTGTCGGGGAAGGTGGGCCCGCCTTGCTTTGGGGGGACCCGCGCCCGACACTGATGTCTCAGTGCTGTCGTCTGCCTCTTGGCCCCTGCTGGTCCCCTCTGGGAGCAGAGGCGGTCGGAAAGCCCCGGGGCCCACATGCAGGCTTCGGGAGGAGGCAGCCCGCCAAGATCGGCTCCC